CGGATCTGCCGAGCCAGGGGCAAGGATGCGTTGCAGCAACTCAGTGTCTTGAATCCAACTCTCCTTCAGTTGCTTCCAATGCTCGTCACCAGCCTCCAACTTGCTGGTAAAATGAGCCGCTTTTAGTGTATTGTAAAACGCGTTTCGAATCTGGCGGCTTTCTTCGGGATTGATCCCAAGGGCGTTTTTGGCTTCCGCGATTGTCATTCGCCTTTCTAATGTCCTCATCCGTTTAGTGACATCTGTACAAACGACATCGAGAGCGAGGGCTTTGGCATCAAGCTGGTTGGGATCTTCCCAGAATACACGCTGAAGATGTTCGGACTCTTGTATTAGTCTGTTTTTTGCCTCCTGCCATCTTTCAGGTCCAGCAACAGTCTTCTTGATGAACCCTGCCTCTTCACATATCCTCTGAAAATGATCTCTTATTTGACGGTAAACAGCATTGTCTAGGCTCAGGTATTTCTTACTCTCGTCGATTGTGGTCTCAGAAGGAAAGCGAGGTGGCCCAGGCGGGTCTGCTGGTAGTCCAGCCCATTCCCTGGTGCGTCGACGCCGTTTCCGGGAAGCCCAACGCTCAGCACTCTCTGCTTTCAAGCGTTCAAGTCTCTCTTGGCGCTTCGCGAGTACATCAGCTGATAAGCTAGGCGATGGAGGCCGCATGACCGGTGAATCGGCAGGAAGATTCTGAGCGTCGTAGAAGGGTTCTGCAGTCTTGTATACTTCCTGTTGGAGTGCCAGCAGTCCCTCGTCTTCTGGTAGTTGCACAGATGGTCGGATAGTGGCTTGCGACTTCATTCCATTGGGAACACGGAGTAGCCAGCGATTCTTCGCGCGCACTCGCATCAACTCTCTTTCTTTAATCTCAAAGCCTTCTTCATTCAAGACACGCAGCATGTCCCGTTGGCTTGTATTTCGCTCCCAAAGTTGTTTGACGCGAGCGACAAGCTCTGCATTTTTGTGGGCCGGATTCTGTTTGGAAGGAAAGCCCCAGCGCTTAAACTGGGTCTGAAAGGCGCGCTTACTGTTGGATGTATGTCTTAGCCAAATATGGATGAGAAATGTAACCGAATCCTGCGTCTCCAAGAATGGGCGACGAAGAAACATTGCCTTAATGACTATGTGCATACCTGGGTGAAAATTGATATACGTTTCGCATGTATTCCATAATTTCCTCCAGTGCTTTTTTATCTTTGATGTACATCTGATAGCATATTTCTCTCTTGCCCTCCCAATCGTATACCATGACGGAAGTTTTGGTGAGACGCTCCCTCCCAATGGAGGTGCGTCTCAGGAAGCGGATCTGATATCAAGAAGAGTGATAATGGGATCCGATAGGACAATGGAACAAGAAAGGCACCTGTTGTCGCTCCTGCAGACCGTAGTCGAGCTGCCGCTGTAGTATGTTGAGCTATCTGGCACGCCGTAGAATAATCCAAAAGTCTGGCTGCGCAGAGGCTGCTCCTGCGCAATTTTTTATGGTACCGCTCACGTGATTGGCCACCTTTGTGCTAGCACTCCTTACTGACCCTTTAACATCGAGAATACGACCCGTCGCAGGCAGCAAGACAAATCATTTGAGCAAGTTTCAACTCATGATAGTCTCATACGATCATTGAAGATCGCAGAAATGACCTAACTAAGCGGGTGATCCTCGAATGTAGGCACGGTAAATGCATTCTATCAAGGCCAGCCTTCGCTCAAACTGAATCCCATATCATGGCTCCACTGTGATTGGGACATTAGATAGCATCAGCCCAAACTTTGGAACTTCCTGCGCATCTTGAAGACCCTAGTCCGTAACCATGTCAAAAATAACATCCAAGTCGTCTTGGATTCCGATCTCCAAGAACCTGAATTCGACTTTCGCTGTGGTTGATCCGTGGGAGAATCTAGTTCTTCAGTGACACTTGACTTCTCAGATAGCCCACCCTTGGGTTCCTGCTTGTTTGCAACTGTAAGTGATGTGCGCCAGTCTTGTTTTCCCTTGCGTCTCCTTTGTTTCTCTTCAGCCCGCAGTTGCTGTTCTTCAAGCTTGCGTGCTTTGGCTGCTTCTTTCTCCTCAAACGCTTGACGTGCTGCTTGAATTGTGGCGGCACGAGATATAGGATCCATGCTTGTCCGTGTCTTCGATCGGAACACGAAATCTAAAGATGGTCTTGAGACTGGTGATGCTGCTTCAAGGGAGCTGCTGTTGTCTCGTGAATAGCCAAAAGATGTTCGTCCGGTCAAATTCGTTTGTGATATACTAGGAATCCTTGTGAACGAACTATCATGCATCTGCAACGAATGTCGCGCTGTCTGTGTAGCAAATCCATGAATAGAAGATCGAAGTGGATCAGATTCTGTCTGAGTGGTCCGTCCTGGCTCAGCCGAGACTCGTCCTTCAAATCCCTCGTTTTCCACGAGAGATGTTTGACAGGATTGACTTAATCGCGGTGTAGACGCACCAGGAACTTGGCGCATGGGATGAGCGCAACGCAAGTCGGAATTGCCCATGCCTGGGCTGCTCGCCGTAGAGAAACATGGTGTCCCGCTGATAGACCGGGTATGCAATGAAACAGTCCTCCTGGCACCAGTTGTAGTGTGAGAGTCGCTTCGACAGTCTCGTCTGCAAGAATTCGTGGATATTTTGAGACCTTCTTCCTCAAAAGACGACCCTGAGAGATCAATCGACATTGTTGATAGGGTATTGCGAGGTAATTTTGCTAGTAAGGGCATGATTTTGGACCTTCAATCATGTAAGGTCCCAGTGCTTGGGTGATTAGTCGGATCGTCGATATGAGTGACTGTCGCGCCTGGAACAAGACGGGCGAATTTGGAATCCTTCATGTATCGAATGAATTCTTGAAGATCGCTCAGTTGGGCCGAAGAGAGAACTGGCAAAGTAGTATCATGGCGAAATGACAGGACCCAATCTTCCAAATGCACTGTCCAAATATGCATGGAAAGAATTTGAATGCAAAGAGAATCAAATCAATTGAGTTTATTTGCAGCAAAGTGACTTTCGCTTGTGCCAAACGAAGGTAAGATAAACCGCCTTTCCTATTCCACGAGACCGCCCTGACGACAGTCTCCTTGGACCGCATGAGACAATATATGCTCAATGCTAAGACAAGGAATTCATGGCCGTCTCAGAGCACACCGAATAGCTAAGTAAGTGCAAGTAGGGCAAGGGAAAGCCGTTGTTAAGAAGCCGATATTTGAAGCTCGTAGTATTTATCTGATATCTACCGGAGTTGAACTGAGAGAGTAGCGGGGTAAGAATATGTGTGGGATCGGCCGGCCCAGACCATTGGCATCAATCAGAATTGGTGAAGCTGAAAACAAGAGATGCAGACCCAAAGACTATGATCAGATTGAATAATGAGGAAGTACTGGAACGGAAAATTGATATGTAGTTAATGATTTGCGCATCTGGGCACTGTTCAGCCACAGGACCAAGAAGCACACTGTGGATTTACCGGAAAGACGGAGGAGTGGTTTCCCAGACAAGGCTGGGAAAACATGTAGATAGTACAATACTCGTACAGAGTACTCCGTACAGTACAGCTGAATGTCGGGTACAATAATGTATCTCCTCACCTAGGTATTAGTATGGAGTAGCCTATTTGCTGAGTTATAAGCCTATGCAAAAGGATGAATGGTCTACCGTCACATCGTACCTAGGTACCTGGGTAAGCTACCCACTACTGTAGTTAGACTGGTATGTACTTTAGCTTCTGTGCAGGTACCGCGGTGAAGTAAGTACCTACATGTATGTACAGAGCACAGTCTTAACATGATAACACCCTGGATAATTATGATTACCAATGTGAATGGTACTTCATTCCTTGCGGATGGACTCTACTTAAGTGAGGTATGTGCCTTACCTGGGCAGACCACGGAAAACAGGACAAATAATAGAACACATATCTTGAAATACCTCCCTAGAGGTTGAGTAGATACTGACAGCACATTCCGCCACCTGCTATACTCTGTAACTCCCAGGCTGTGAATACTGTATATCTGTAATACAAAAGATGGCGTAGCTGATCATTATTCCATAGACTGTTTACTTCGCGGTGGCTGGGACAATGCAAGACTGGAACACATTCGGAGATAAATATGTTACAGTATCTGTAGTACCACAGGTACGTACTCCGTACTACTTAAGGTACAAGTACCTTAGGTAGTGTAAGGTAGGGTATGGTCTGCTGGGCGCCGGATGCGGATGGCCTTTAGTCCACAGTACCTTACCTACGGAGCACTCTGTACACCGTATCTTTCTCCAATAGTACTTGGTACCTGGTACCTCCATCTTAAGGTAATACCTTACATAATAACATCTTTGGATCGGCCCCTGAAAGTGCAGGAGTTTCTACGGATACCAGGTATATCATCACCAGTTCACCACCTATTCACAAGATGCTACTAGCTTATTATTGTTATTATTTGTCTGGGTTATTATTACTACTACCTAGGCTTACCATCACTATTGCTAGGTCCTAACCTCCACATGCTCAAGGACCAATAATAGTTCATAAATTTGCTCTTCAGTCCCACTACTAGCTATTTCGTTGGCATTTATAAAACCCTGGGTGCTGCCAAGATGTTAAGCACTGAACAACTGAGCATGAAGCCCGAGGGCCTGTCCTATCATTGTATGCCGCCAAGCGTCCAATGGGGGACTCGAATGGTGATAGGGCTCGTTAGTCCCAACTAAAGATCAATCACTCCACTCCTTGCTTACTTCCATTCTCGCCCAAGGCCTGAATCAAAACCTATGGCGGGGTACTCAACGGTCTCAACCTATTCCCCTCCCCCTCCTTGTCCAGGTACAGAGCAGGCGCCGTTGAATATAGTCAATATCTCTTTAACCCTTATCCTAAAGGAATATCTCTCTTACGAAGGAATTCTGACAATAGCAGGGTTTATATTTACATATTCGCTCATAAGCGTTATTCGAAATCCCGAACTCTGGCGCTCCCTGTTTTTTAACCAAGAGGGATTCACCAGCCATGGGGTCAAGCGTCCAGAGCCTGACCCTCTCCATTCTGCTCCTGTTATTGCTGTCGGGAAACGCCCACGCCTTTGGTGCTGGCAATATCGCATCGATTTCGCAAGTCGAGGGTCAAAATTGGCGCCATGGCGATATTGAAGATACATTGTTAACCTTGTTCTTGGCTCGTGCTGCTGGTGGCCGTAAATTTGGCAAGCTCGATGTGCAGCGCGTATATTTTGGAAATTGGCTTCGCGATTACAGCCAGGCCGTGGATGTGGGCACCCTGAAATATGTCAGCGCCGAAGCTATTCGCATCCTGATATGGGTTCTGGGGTTTCTTAGTTTTGGGTAAGCCGTCAACATTTCCAGGCATTGACGCAGTGATCACTTGCTGAAGAAGCGTGTGCAGCTACGGAACCAAAGAATTTGAGGTGACCACTGAGCGCCTAGGTTGCTATGAGCCTACTGAGCATATCGATAATCCTCTCGGTTATGCTGAGGGGGAGGACGCGCGCCGCTATGATCGTCGATTGAGAGGCCCTGTTGACGAGGAGCGTGAGCTGTCGGTCGATCCCAGGACAGGTGGGAACACCTTTTCCAATTGAAAACTTAGCCCTGCTGACGTCTCAAATCCATTACATCCAGGCCTGAAAAACTATATAGCTAGTGAGGATCTCGGCATCGGGACCTCTGCGGGCCTGGTCCGCAGAGTCTTTAAGCGTTCGATTGAGCTGGGACGGCGATATGCAAGATCACGTAATGATGATGACCTCCATGAAGCTCTTCGTTTGCTTGGAACTGGCCTCCATTGCTTGGAAGACTATGCAGCACATTCCAATTACACTGAACTGAGCCTTATTGAATTGGGAGAATCAACGGTCTTCCCCCACGTGGGTCGCAACACCAAAGTTGAAGTTGACGGTGCACGGGGTTACGTCTATCCCATTGTCACTGGCACTTTTGGCGGTGTGGACTTTTTTCACTCGGTACTGGGTGAGCTGTCGGACAAGACGGTTCAATCTGAAGTCCAGTCTCTTGAAGGGGTCATCAATGAGTCGCAAAGTGGAACCCCCTCCGAGAGCTTCATTCAGGACTTGCATAACAAGATCCCTGAGGGACTGATTGGAAATAGCGACGATCAAGCCAACAAAATGGACGAGTTCAAAGCCAAGTCTCAAGACGCCAAGCAGCACAGTCAAGACATCAGCCCCCGTGAGCCCGAGGAGTGGACGCGGTATTTGGACGATGTGCATCAGCAGATTTACCCTGTTCTTGAATGGCATGACGAGCTCATTAAGTCAATCAATCGCGCGATTGAAAAGATCCCAGTCTTGCCGGAGCTTATTGAACAGTTTCAGGAGCAGATCAACATCTTTGTCTTCTCCATTCTTGCGCCCTATATACTCCCCATCATCCGGCAGGTCAAGGTCGAGCTTCAAACCGGCTCTTCCGAAGTCATTGAAAGTAGCCGGGCACAGCAGCACGTTGTATTCAATGATGATGATTCCTCAAACCCCACCCACTCGATGCTCTCCAAAGATCATTTCTCGAACGTTCTGAACGAACCGGCCGGCCACATTGCCTCTCGAGTAGTCAAATGGACAGTGCCTCAGCTGATGGAGTGCTGGGACGATGAAAACATTGATGTAGACAGGACACTAGACCGGATCATCACGGGCGTCTTCCATCATCCGGCTTTACGTCAATATGGCGAGGACGGAGCATCTGATATACGCCAAATCATGTTCAACACTGTCGAGGAGTGGTGGGGCAGAAAAGATGAGGCGGAACAGGAGAGTCTTCGGGAACAGCTCTCTCGGGAGGGTGTTCGTGAGGGCAAGAACCACAAAGAAGGCGTGCATGATTCAGGACATGGATGCGGGAAGCCTCTAACACTCCATAGGGGTAAAACTAGCCCCGAGGAGAGTTATAAGCCGAGCACCGACGGGCTTGGTAAGATTGCGGCAGAGGCTGCGGGCGGTGGAGCCCTCGGAGGCTTAGTTGGAGGTCTTGTGAGTGGGGTCGGATCAATTCTCCTAAGCGATACCAGCGCCCGTCGGTCGGATAATGAAAGATACGAGACTGATTTTCAGGAGGATGGGCGCCTTGGACAATCTCACCCACAGTATGGAGGCCAGGGCCGATTCGAATCAGAGGCTGACGGCGAGGATCGATATTCCGGGGGAAGCAAGTACGGAAGGGAGGCTCGACAGGGATGGAATGAAGGCCGCCCAAGAGAAGATGATAACCCGACATACGAAAGCACCTCGAGCTACGCCCGCGGGGGAGGCGGGTATGATCATGAGCGAGGACGGGAAGGGTCCCAGGATTATCAAAGGCACGGTTCTCGAGATGGTAGACAAAAGCACGAGGATGCGCACGCGAACCCTGAGGGCCGTTCAGACTTCGAACGTTACGAGACCTCTGAGAGATATCCTTCCGTTGAAAATCGGAGAGGTGTAGAGTACAGTCGCGATCGACCAGACTATGACAGTGGTGAAAGTCGGTGGTCCCAACAAAGACCGCAGGCGGCTTATGAACGTGCAGATGACGATAGGAGAGACTATACGAATTCCAGGTACGATTATGACAGCGGCCGTTCTACATATGACACTGCACAGACTGGGTTCTATGAACACAGCAGACCAGACAGGTTAGTGAAATATACTTCCGGGGACTTTGGCCGACGTTGACTTTTCTACTCGAATGTATGACTGACCGTCTGCGCAGGGAATATCAGCCGCGGTACGAGGGCCGGCATGGAGCATACGAAGAAGTTGAAGAATATCACACTCGAGTAGAGTACCGTGGAGACGAGGAAAATGACAGCAGTGAGTATGCCGAGCCACGGCATGGGTACGGAAGGCGCTACGAAGCAGAGTCAAGGGATTACGGATATTAGCGACACGATCGGCCAATCTAATTGCTTGTATCGAAAATGTCGTGATTGCACACCATCTTTACTTTGCACTCTTCCTTCCTTTGACTTGTTCAAGCTACATGAACTGCCTTACTTAGTACTGCTGTTGTAAATGCCATTGTTCACCACTTCTTTACTTCCCCTGGCGTTGGTTGTTCTACTCGAACAACTTTGTCGCAATTAAGTAAGCGAAGGGGATCCAGCGCCATTTTTATCTGCATAGAGTCAACGTCGGGATCAAAACCAGTCCTACAACTAGAGTCCTCATAACTTACCCGCCGCATAGTGTCCACCGTGGTTTCCCCAACCTCATGCTGAAGATAGTCCCGCTTGATGAGGCCAACTCCGTGTTCGCCAGTCACTGTGCCTTCCATTTCAACTGCTCGCTTGACCATTCGGTGCACAACACCTTCCGCAATTTTCTTTTCATTCTCATTGAACAGGATAATTGCTAAGAAAATGGGGAAAAGATTAGCTTCATGCTTTACTTAACGATGGGAAAGCAGCAGGGGGGGGAGGGGGGTACCGTGAAAATTGCCATCCCCGACATGGCCGCAAATTCCGGCCAATAATCCGCTTTCCGTCATATCCTGCTTCGTTGCCTCGATTATGTCGGGCAGCTTGCTCATTGGCACTGCCACATCGGTCGTCCAAACGCGGTCCTCTGGACCTCGCCTCATGGACATCACACTCCACAGAGCCTCTTTCCGAGCACTCCAAAGTTCTTCCATTTCATTTTCCCCTCGAGCGAATTCAAATGATTGTCCTGCGCTACTAGAGACAATTTTCCGAACAAGCTCAATTTGTTCTTTGACACCCACGGGGGTCCCTGTGAATTTGAAGAAGAGAGTAGGTGACTCCTTCCACTGTCGACGAGTCGTCCGACTACCGTTGATGCATTTCATTTGAACGTCATCAAGGATCTCAACCCCCGCAACGGGGATACCTTCTTCCACCACGCGGGTCACGCACTCTGCCGCGTTGTGAATGGATGGGAAGCTAGCAACAGCAACGCTTTGACTCTTGGGCTTGACAGTCAGCTTCAATGTAGCCTCCGTCACAAGCCCGAGAGTTCCTTCGCTTCCAATAAACAGTCTGGTGAGATCATAGCCTGCGCTCGATTTCCGCGGACGTTGTCTTGTTTTGATAATAGTCCCATCTGCAAGGACAACAGTCAAAGAAAGAACCCATTCTCGCATTGTGCCGTATCTGTAAGCATTGGTCCCCGAACAGCCAGTGCCGACCATACCGCCAATCATAGCACCGGGACCCGGGTCAGGTGGAAAAAAGAGACCTTCTTTAGACAATTCCTCATTAAGGTCTTCCCACCCAACTGCAGGCTGGACCACAACGTCAAGATCCTTTTTGTGGAGCTCCAGGATACGATCCATGCGGCGGAAATCGATACACACCCCTCCTCTCGTGGGAGCAAAATGACCCTCCAGACTGGTACCACCGGAGTAGGGCGTCACAGGAATGACCCGTTGATGGCAGACTTTCATAATTCGGGAAACCTCCTCGGTGGTTGCTGGATAGAGGACAAGGAAAGGCCTTTCATTTTTTTTAAGTGTATACGAAGACCAATCAGAACCGGAATGTACATCGAGGTCACCATGTTCAGTGGATACATTTTCCTTTCCTAGAATCTCAACAAAGTCCGCCCAAGCGGCTTGTAAATTTGACTGTGAGATATTGTGGGTCGGCGGCTCGATTTCGAAGAGGGTGGTGGTTGACGACGTTGGAAGACTAGCGGGCTTCAATGATCCTAGGTAATATGCACCAGTAGAGAAGAAAACCAATGCTATTACGATGAGAATTAGAACCATATTGAAGAAAGAAGATGAGCTAAAGTACCCATGGCACGTATCCCTGAGCGGATCGCATACCGAACGTCAAAGCCGCATAGCGACCACCTGGTGACTGAGTCTGATACTGAGAAAATCGTTCCTGCTCAGCGCGCTCCCGCTTCAACCGCTGCTGCGTACTCTCATACAGCTGATTCTTGAAGGACTGCGACTTATCGTTGGCAGAGATTCGAGCAGTTGCCCTGAAGTATCGGTACTGGTACGTAGGTATGGTCGTTTTCGGCCGAACAGCATGGAAAACCGCCCTCCTCCAGGGTTGGAGGAGGACATTAGATCCGACCATATTGATGGTGAATTAAATATAAACCAAAGATGGCTATCTCGATCCAATCTTCAGGGAATTCAGATCGAAAGACGTTTGTTTTGTCCGTCAGGTCGGCGATACTCTGTTAACGACGGATACTTTCTCCTCAGCAGCTCTCTAAGGAAATATATCTGGCTTAATAAGCCGTCCCCATTGGTCAGTCCTGGGAATACACCTCCGCAGAGGGGTATTACCAACCAGTTACCTCTCGAGAGGTACCTTAGTGTTGTGATTATTACCTAGGTATTGATAAGGTATTATTGACATGTAAGCTACAAGTGACTTCAAAGACCTGGTTACAGTATCTTATACTTTATGTGGACCAGATAATCATTTTGTTAAAAGGAGGGTGAGAATTTAATTATCTCTCTTATTCCGCATGCACTAATAAACACTGGGTTACTTGCTTCACTGATAACAGGAAGTAGCATACAACGCATGAGTGATCCTTGACACTCATTGCTTAATTTTAATTTCTTTCTTTCTTTCTTTTTACTTTTTACATTTTATTCTTTGTTTGTGAGAGTTTGTGTTTTATAGCTACAGTATAAACAGTGAAAAGTTGATTATCAATTGTCCCACTGCATAGTCAAGCCATTCCTAAATCTCAAAGAACTGTTGTTGTAAATACAGACACGTTTTTCAGTTAGACTTCATCTCCACAATGCTAACTTATTTACCCGTCTGGCAATGATGGTCACGGGAACAGTAAATATGGGGACTATTAAGAGGAGATGAGAAGAAAGATGGTCACAGGAACAGACTCTTACTCTCAATGTTTAAGAGTACTTTATATGAGGAGATGGGAATATGATGTACTCATGGCAACTGCTTCTTAGGTGGGCTATGACATCAGTTTGACACCAACTACATCCCAAGAGTACCAGGTAGCCATATGAATATTAGGTGGCATGAGATGAGTCTAATCTCAATAAGTAGGATCAGAAGCTGAATCTAAGAGACCATTATTTTCACCCCTTCATCATCTTTCCCTTTTTAACCTCTTTCTCCCAGCTTCACCGGCTAAATAGGAGGTACCACACGGGTAATTTCCAATACCTACAAAGTAAAAGGGTCTCGCCCAACTCGACTCAGGTTAAGACGCTCCCACCAGTGTGACGAGACAACCTGGCGGGGACCGGAGATATTCAATTCGAGTCGTTATATTATCCACTGTCTAGATAGATGTCCCTCTAAAAAGCTCGCTGCCCCAATTCATAAGTTCTGGTCTGGATAATTTGGGTAGGCTTTCTTTCTCCACAAGGCCCCCCTCTCTTTTATCCTGTCGAGTATAACAGTAGCAAGCAACCCTCCTTCTCTTCCTCCGTCTTTCCCTTTCAGTTTACCTCCGTGTACCTTCTTTAGACCGCCGACCTTCTCAGAAAACAGCCGGCTGAGATCTCCTATATCAATAAAGGAATGATAAGAAGAATACACGGCGAATCTTGAGCAAAGACAAAAGCGATACAAAATGAGTACATCAACAGCCACTGCCCAGGTGTGTCCGCTTCTCTGGTGTCATCACCAACTATGAAAACCAATACGAGCATGGAGAAGGGGAAAGAAGAAGGAATAAGGTTAACATCTTATCGAAATAGAATCTGTCCTTTGTCCTCGAAGGTATTCACCAGGTCAAATTTGAAGATCGACCTATTCCAGAACTAAAGGACCCTCACGATGTACTGGTGAACGTCAAATTCACTGGTATCTGTGGCAGTGATGTACGTATCGGCGCGTTCAGCCTAACACTCTATATCCACCTGCCCCCCGGGATCGTTGATTAGGCTGACTGTTTCGCATCGGTTGCATTCAGGTCCACTATTGGGAACATGGTTCAATCGGCCAGTTTGTTGTGAAGGATCCTATGGTCTTAGGGCATGAGTCCTCCGGAGTCATCAGCAAGGTCGGCTCAGCTGTCAGAGGCTTGAAAGTGGGAGACCGTGTTGCCATGGAGCCAGGCATTCCATGCCGTAGATGCGAACCTTGCAAGGCTGGGAAATACAATCTCTGTGAGAGAATGGCCTTCGCAGCGACTCCACCATACGACGGCACCTTAGCAAAGTTCTATGTACTTCCCGAGGACTTCTGCTACAAGCTTCCCGAGAGCATCTCCTTACAGGAGGGGGCTCTCATGGAGCCTCTAGGCGTCGCTGTTCACATTGTGAGACAAGCAAGCGTCACCCCCGGCCAGTCAGTGATCGTTTTCGGAGCCGGGCCCGTCGGGCTTTTGTGCTGTGCCGTCGCAAAAGCTTTCGGCGCCGCTAAAATCATCGCTGTGGACATACAAAAGGTGAGACTGGACTTTGCCAAGAAATATGCGGCAACATCAACTTTCGAGCCTGCCAAAGTAAGCGCGGTGGACAACGCGGACCGACTGAGAAACGAGAACAACCTAGGAGTTGGTGCAGATGTGGTTATCGACGCCTCAGGGGCTGAACCGTCCGTTCACACCGGAATTCATGTTCTGCGCCCCGGTGGCACATACGTGCAAGGTGGCATGGGCCGGAGCGAAATAATGTTTCCAATCATGGCGGCTTGCACGAAAGAGTTGACTGTCAAAGGTAGCTTTCGGTATGGGAGTGGAGACTATAAGCTCGCGGTCGACCTGGTCGCGTCCGGTAAAGTCAATGTGCAGGATCTTATCACCGGCGTGGTCGAGTTCTATGACGCTGAACAGGCATTCAAGGAAGTCAAGGTCGGGAAAGGCATCAAAACACTCATTGCTGGGATCCAAGATTGAGACGAGCACCCCGATAATCATATGACTTTCGAAAATGTGTGTAATTCGAACCAGTGGTCCTGCGTCATTGCGGGCCCTACCTATTTTGAGACCAGGAGACGAAGAAGACATGGTAGCCGCTCTGGTGTCTAATATTTGGAATTAAACAATAATAGCTGTATATCTGAGCCCAACTCAAGTCAACCACGAATTTCACTGGTAACGCGACGCAGGAGTGGCAGAATTTCAGCTGCTGGCAAGCGACAGAGCTTTGGGTGGTTTCATGCATTATGAGGTATTCGCTGATTAGCCGCAATGGCAAGTAGAGACCTTGCGAGAGGACCGATGAGAGGGATTAGAGGGTCGCACAGCGTAAAAGAAAAAGCCAAAGAAAAAGTAAAAGAAGAAAAGAACGGAGAAGGCAAACGAGTATTTTTCATGAAAACAATCGAGCAGAAACGGAACCTAACTCCGAGGCAAAGAGGGCGATGTAAAGTATCTAGGGCTGTGAAGCAACCAGACAGAATAGATAAGGCAAATATTTGCACACCTCCATTATGTTGTATATGGGGTAAATGAATTCCGATGTGCAGACCTTCCAGAGCAGAAGGCCTAAGACAAGAGCAATGCGTGACTTGATGCAAGCGAAGGAAGGACACGCCCAACAATCCACACGTGCCAGAGGTTTGAAGGGTCAACAGCATCCGGTACCCTTCTTTTGGTGCGAGCCGCTGAGACGAAAGACCTCTTCCCATTCTCCGATGTTGCTTCTCCAGTTATTCACTCCCCTACTGCCACCCCGCCTTTTTGGATTCCTGCGATGCAGTTGCACGGAATTATCATCGACTGTCATCCGACTTCGAATACTCGACCCATCGCTGGTGCCCTGGCCATACAGTCCGCCGTCTCCATATTGAATGCCACTTTGAGGATCGTCGGGATCGATCTCCCCTAGCTCAATCTTGGTAAGGATAATTCGTGCCAATCGGTTGAACAATTCTTCCACGCCCTCTCCGGTAAGAGCCGACACCTCGACAGCAACAGGAATATTCGCCTTGGCAGCCCAGTGTGCTGACTCTTCGGCGCTCACTTGACGACCCTCAAAGGCATATGTCGCCGTGAGCCTTGTTCCAGTACCCAAATGGCTTGTGGAGCGAACAGAACCAGGAACCGAGTCGATTGGGAATGATGACTGCTTGCTGCTAGTGCTGGAAGGAGTAGGAGGGGCTCTCATGCTGTCATCTGCGAAATCGCCATGGGTCGCGGAGTCGGACGCAAGATCCGCCTTATTCCCGGCTAGTAGAACAGTGAGATTGGGAGATGCAAGAGCACGTGCATCCATTAAAAAGGTAGGAAGCGCTGCGAATGAAGCTTGTGAAGATATATCGTAGATCAGGATAGCGCCTGCAGCTCCGCGATAGTACGATCTTGAGACGGAACGAAATCTCTCTGTGCCCGCGGTGTCCCAAAGCTGCAGTTTAATCCTTGTTTTTCGGTGACCGGATCCAAGCCTGACTATTTTCGAGGAGAATTCGACCCCTATCGTTTGTGATGACAACACTCTCCCTACAGTCGCATGGTGTATTAGCGAGCCGGCTATCCAGCTCAGGGGGAGCGAGGGATAGGATCAGGCTCAGTCAGGGATCGGAGCCGTACATTCGTCCTTCACGAATCGATGTAATACACATGACCTGCGGTGAGCCGTACCATGTGAGCAACAGTAGCAAAAGAGACTTGGGAGGTTATCAACAGCAAGGCACATACTTTCCGGCACCGCTTGGCCCAAGTAGGATCACTTTGGCCAGATAATCATACATGCTCTCCAGCTCCTTCAACAGCGTTAGTTGATACGTCCTCATTGAGCACTAAGGGTCTAAAGTTCCCTGGGTACCTGATTTCCATCGGGAAGAGAAGGTGACGAAGAAGCATTCGACAGACCTCTTTGGCGCGCCATGGGTTCAAGTATGAGGAGACCAAGAGCGCGTTGAAGAGAGCCAAAAGGAAAAAGAGCGCAGATGCTCTTTGGCGTGGTCTTTATTTCTTTTTGGGAGTAAGGCTTTTGGATCTTGGGTTAAGGGGCATTTAAAATCGATGCTTTAACTCTGAATTTCGGCGGCACGGGACTACATGTTAGATCATGGGTAGAAGGCCGCTAAGTTCGACTGACCCCGTGTCCGGTTTACGCACTCGGCTTCATCTGTAAGGCAACTCGCCTCATGGACGCAGTCGTAAATCATCATTCTCATGTAGGGCAGAAACT